TGTGTGTGTGTGTGTGTGTGTGTGTGTGTGTGTGTGTGTGTGTGTGTGTGTTAATTAATAACAGCAATCGTAGGCATTCATGACCAGAGTGACCTGAGAAGTTCTTGTAAGTATTTTTTGAGGGTGCGCTTGGGGTTTCAATAATTCAGTGTGAGTTATCTGAATGTGGGGTTCTTTTCTTTCATGCCTAATAACAATTTTTTTTTTGCATCGTTGTGAAACCAGATTCTCAACAAAATAATTAAACCGAAAAAAAACTGCAATTTTTTTTAAAATCAGATAAGCAATTTTTATCGATCACTTTTAAAACAAAAAAGTTAATTAATTAAAGGTACAAAAGACATAATATACATTTACAATTTCCAAGGACACTTGACCTTTGGAAGTCACCGAATTTTAGCGACATTTTCTCACTACTTTTTCCCTCTGATACCAGGCGACCCGAACATCACTCAATCGTAGATATCTCGACGACTATCAAACATAGATGGGTATTTGTCTCCAAAAGTAAGACAAATCATACACGCTTTAAGGTGGTACCGATAACTCACGTCGAAACACTAACAAGTGCTCTACACAACCGTGTCGTGACACAAGTGTTATGTACGTACATAGTACATATCGTCACCGCCACCTGTCATGGTCGTATGTCGAAATGTGAGATTTTCAGAAGAAGCCAGATAAGTGCTGTATGTAGCTCAGTACATTATCTCAGAACCAAATGTTTAATTTGTTTAAATCCTACACTATCTTAAGAAGAGGAATGAGACTAAAACCAACTGATGCGCATCATCAAACCATGAAACATATTTAAGTTCAATTTTTTTGAAATTGTCACGTAGGCCTACTTTGGAGTGGAGTTATATTTCGAAAGACAGTATACCCACTTTCGTAAAATGTTTAGGACAGCCAAAAGACACAACTTTGTCTCTCAATTATTGCCAGTTGCTTTGAATATCTATTTAAAAAAACGCGTTCCACGCTTTATTTATAAAGATATCGCTACCAGATTAAGGCAGAAATGAGCACCGTGTTTTACACTTTCAGTTGAATCATAACTCAATTTCATCCAAAAATTGGATATTCTTCTGCTCCCGTGGATTTGTTATCCGTTGGGTCGCCTCTGACAGATGGGGGGGCTCTCGTGGCCTAGAGGTTAAGGTGTTGGCTTCTCATTCAAAGGTCCCGGGTTCGATTCCGGGTAGCGACCAAAAATTTTTCTT